TGAACAACATTTGCATATTCAGAGATTCTGGAAGTTTATAATGAGATAGAAGGAGTAAATGAGTTTTTAACGGGTTTAATGTGGAAATTATACATTTTTGGCAGAAACATTAGACATTATGGTTCCAAACAGACTATTTGTGTATGTGTCTTAACACATGTACCTGTAAATACCCTAAAATACATTAATACAGTTCCTTTTTACTTCATTATATATCAGGTTTCTTAAAGCTGGATTAATATATTAACATTGAATCAAATAATTGCAGCTCATAACAACCTTTTAATAACGAACTGCAGTAGAGCCTTATTATTACATCTTATTTTAATGTTGGCGGTTAAAAAGGCTCTAGCAATCTTTTTTTGTCTTATTTTGCAGCTTGAAACAATTGTAGGTAACAAAAGCTGTAAATATCTTCATAAATACTCTGACATTCAGAAGACTTTTGCGTGCAAATATCCAGACTGTATCACTAAAAAAAAGATTGTGTTGCTGCTGTCTACAGTCAAAACAGAAGCCATATTAGGAAGCTTCCTTGTTTAGGTAAACCACTACAGTATGTAAATATATATTTTTGATCTACATTCCTCTTTAATCTCTACACACCAGTTTTTCACACACATTTTGGACATCCGAATGACAGAAAAAACAGACAAACTGACTCAAACACTCCTCCAGACTGTTAGCCCCACTGCCTGTATGTTGAGCTCAGGTATGTATTATGTTGGTAACGTATTAACACAGGTAATAGGTTCTTTTTTTAACTTCTTCCGTGTGTCAGGATGTTTGATTGACAGCTGTATGTGGGATGTGTGTATTTCAGGGTGTGCTGACCTCCATCTGCTGGACATGCTGAGTCCCATGGAGAGGAAGAGGCAGGGATACATCCACGAGCTGATCGTCACCGAGGAGAACTACGTCAACGACCTGCAGCTCGTCACAGAGGTAAACACGCAGATAGTGTGGATTTCTGTACAGCAAATAACACATAACCTATTCACCAGTCAGGTGATCTGAAAAGGAATGTCATTTACCTGAAATATTTGTCGACTGCAAATTCTACTTAGGTTCTTGCACATCCCAGATTTTCTCTACTACTCTAACAGTATTTATTAGTTGTACCGTCACATGATGCTCTAAATCTTTTCTACTGTGCCAAAAATTAAACAGAGCAGGAAACAATAAATACTTTGAATTGCCTTTATATGGCTTAAAGTACTGATATATATTTAAAAGCTAATATTGGTTGCACCCAGTTGCACAAACAAAACTCAGTACTTTTCTTATCCCTTTTTTGACAAAGCTAACACAAGCTGTTGGGTTCGGGAACACAAGCTTTTTCACAACATATCTGAGAATTTAAGTTCACATTTTCTCGAGGTTACATCATATTTGTAGCTGCCCGCGCAGCTTTAACTTTAAAGCCAAAATACAGTTACTTTCAGACGCATCTATCATGAGATACGATCCAACAGTACAACAACTTAGATTTGAAAAACCAACATGAACTAATGCCTGTGTTTTGATTAATATTGGTGAAATTTGTTCTGTGTGTGTGTGTGTTTGTAGATCTTCCACAAGCCTCTGTTGGAGTGCGAGCTGCTGACGGAGAAGGAGGTGGCCATGATCTTCGTCAACTGGAAGGAGCTCATCATGTGCAACATCAAACTGCTCAAGTGAGAAATACACACACCAGTATAACACACGCACAGTAAACTAAGACAAATTTGCCTCTGGTCACTTGCTTTCATTTGATTTTCAAAGATAACATTAGCTGGAATGCAAAGTTCAGCTGCTTTGAATGAAGCTTGAAGCTGGAAAATAAAACCTATTTTTACTCCTCACTGCCCGACCTGAAACACAATGGCATATTTTTTTCAATAAAAAGTCATTGAGGTGTGGCACTGAAATTAAAAATAATCTTCTTCCGCTTATCCTGGTTTTTACTAAAATGTACATGGGCTCTATTAAATACTTTTATTATACTAAACCACACCCTTTTTTTTTCGTTAATCCATAACAATTAGTTGATTCATATTTTGTATTAATAGTCTGAATATGCAAAGTAACTAGTAACTAATGTTGTCAAATAAAAGTAGTTATGTAAAAAGTACAACATTGGCTTCCAAAATGTAATGGAGTATTAAGTTGCATGTAATGAAAATACTCAAGTAAAGTACAAGTACCTCAAAATTACACTTGAGTACAGTATTTTCCACCTCTGACATACAGTACCAGTCAATAATGTAAACCTGTAGTGACACAGCAGACCTGGCTTCTACTCATCGTGCCCCTCTCTCCCCCGCAGGGCCCTGAGAGTGAGGAAGAAGATGTCAGGTGATCGGATGCCGGTGAAGATGATTGGTGACATCCTGACCAACCAGCTGCCTCACATGCAGCCATACATCAGGTTCTGTCTGGCCTCTTTTAATCCCAGTCAGGAAGTCAGTTCACTTCTTTCTGCAAACAGCAGAGGGATTACAGTTTTTCATTAGTTTAGATTTTTATTTAGTTTTCAATTCAGTTCAGTTCCAGTTAGTTTCCAGTTAGAGTGGGTTCGCTAGTTTATATATGTTTAGTTTGTATTAGTTTCAGTGTTAGATTTAGTCTTTTTTAATTAGAACATGAAATAATTATAACATCAATCTTGCCCCTGACAAATACCCCCATTAAATCCTATCCACTGGACCTTTCACTGACATCACTAAAAGGTTTTTCAGACCCAGTTCTGTTTTTTAGTTTAGTTTTAGTTCACTATAATAACCTCTATAACAAACAGCTTATAAACTTTTCTGATTCTGTGTTCAGATTCTGTTCGTGTCAGCTGAACGGAGCCACGCTGATTCAGCAGAAAACCGACGATAACCCAGAGATCAAAGACTTCCTGAAGGTATTAAATACACTCTCTACACACACACAGTGTATGTGTAGCAGTTGCAGCATTTTACCCTTTAATCCCCAGTACGTTTGGTAACTCATGCTGTCTGTCTGTCTGTCT